GCGAGCCGACATTCTCGGCCGGCTGGTTCGGTCTAAATTCTACCGGCCTGTTCGCTGCTCGGTCTTCCTGCGCGAGTCCCACCTAGGCCGGCCGGTCGACCTTCGCCGCGCATGCGAGTACCACTGAAATGCGGAGATTGGGACCGCAGTGGGACTCTTGGGTTTTAATATATGGTTTGGGTTTTTAAGGTTTATTTTATTTTATATTTTTTGTAATTTTGTTTTGAAATGTTAAGTTATTGTGTCGAATGCTTTCATATATTAATATAAAACAAAGCAAAATTGAAGTTTAGGAGTTCGATTTGCAAATACATCGGAATTATGTGGTATATATGTAAATTTTCCTAAAGGAGAATGTTAATGTTAGCCAGGCTTAATGATGGCACATGTTGTCAACTGCTATTTAATTTATTATGTGGGTCCAATTATAAAAACTAATACAAAAAGATTCAAATTAAGTATTGTAATAATAATATAATTTTTTTAAAAAAATTAAACTAGTTAAATGTGTAATTTTAAATTTTACCAATTTCAGTAGATATTATTAATTAATAAAATGATTTGAAGAGAATGGATTAAATATTTAGGGGTTAATTTCAATAAACTAATAACCTTTGTATGTAAATGGATTTATAAAGTTATAATTAGTGATTAATATATAAATTATGGTATACTAGTTATAATTTAATTAAATATTTGTAATAATAATATTATCAATTAAATTAGGTAAATTTATAAATTGTATTTTTAACGTATTTAGTGGATATTATTAATTGACTAAAAAGATATCATCAAGCAAATAGGTTATACTCTTGTTTTTAAATGGATTTAAGAAATTCTAATCAATGATGAATATAAACATTATGTTATGTTAATTATAATTTAATTAATGTAATTGAGTTGAATATAATTATTAATTATTAATTATTAATATTAATAATTGTAAAAATAACTCAATTAAATTAGTTTCATTTTATTTAAATTGGGTTAATAATTACTAGATTATAATAATTCGATATTTTATTTCATGTTGATTATGATATTATCAATTCATCTAATATTAATAAAAGATTAATTAATACTAGAAAATATCATGAACATATAAATTCTTTAAATCTAAATAAGTAGCCAAACAATTTATTTGAGTTTAACAATACCAAACACCTATCATACTAAACAATTTTTAAAATTTAATTATAAATAGTTTACTAAACCCGAATTTTATAAAATCTTAGTTATACAAACTTGACTCAAATAAAATTGACATAACATAAATGGATCATTTCCAAGACAATATGGGATTGTAAATGGAACATAATAATCTGGTATTTAAGTCCACTTCTCTATGATCATCTTCAAAAATCCTTTCTTCTCATTTCTTTTTGGTAGCAAAACTTCCATCTTCTCCTCCCACATTGTCTCCTCCATCGTCACCCTCTCGATCTCTACATTCGTGTCTTCTTCCTCTGTCTCCACCTTCTTCACCTCTCGTCCTTTCCAGCTTCCTCCTTTGTGCATTTTCTCGTCGACCACATCGTTCAAATTCAACGTATTGTTATTTGCATTCTTGCCCTCAATCTCCTTTTCCTCTTTTATTTCATCATCCTCATCATTCTATGAAAAACAACTGTTTAGATGTAAATCATAGCCATCCAATTCATTTTCAATGATCAAGATACATTGTTTGAATGTTAATTCACATCATACGGATTTTGATGGCCTAAACATATAACAAATTATATATTTTGTAGCAATACAAATTTATTGAAAAAAATATAATAATTTTACTGTGTATTAAGTATGAAATAAAAATAAATTTAAACATCATTAAACTAAATGATGCTGATTGCTGGATAAAATCAATTATATATTAAGCTCACCGCGCCAGTTTTGAAGGCGGTGAGCAGAACTTCCTGCTTCTGTTTCGGCTGCTTGGTTCCAACCTCATCCTTGCTCTCCTTGAATAGATCCAATGACCCAAGGTCGATGACCTCCCCTTCTCCTTCCTCCACGCACAGAACCTGTTCTCTGGGCGCCATGCTTGCAATTGCCAGATTTGATTGAGCTCAGATAGAGATGGGTGCTCTAATCCTCTGGCTTTATATAGACGTGGAAAAGCCAAATTTTGGAGAAGGAAATTCGGAGAGAAACGAATCATGAAAGTTGAAGGACAAAAAAAAGATAAATTTTTAGAAATATTTACAACATACCACTCAATTTTTATGTATTTACATATCTAACTTTTAAACTTTAATTTTTACATATATGTCATCTTACTTATGTATGAATAGATGTATTTAAACTTTTAAAAGTTAATAAAATAATGATATTTTTGACGTGATGTGAAGGATTTAGGAAGTATAAATATTAAAAGTAAAATATTGGTGTCATATATATATATATATATATATATATATATATATATAATAAAAAAATAAGTGTTATGTATGTTTGTTAAGATAAATGGAGATAAAATATTTCACATTGGAATTACTCAAATGATTCTAATATTTCGGGGCATTATAATGATTATGAAGATAAAGAAAAATTATAAAGACATTATGAGTAAATTTTATTTCAGTAAATTTCATTTATATTTTATCGACACGAGAGATCGACTAAAACATCCTCTAGCACTTAAGATGACTCTAAGTTATAAGCATCAACGTATTGTTGATGTCAAGAAGCTTGCAAGACATGCTAATCAAGACCCTCCAATATTCAGAGCAATAAAAGCGATTCTCATTTTAAAAATATGAAATATTCCAAGCACTTCGCAACAAATTTTTTTTTTTTTTATCACATTCATATATCAATTCATGTCCGTGCAGACAACTAATCACAACAAGCCCTTTGTATTGGGTCACAATCAAAGTAATGATGTATATCGGAACATGATGCTCATCAACCCTTTGTTCTCAACCAACCTCACGTCCATCAGTTAGTTACGCTTTAAAAACTTTTTATTAATAGTAGCCATTAATTAAAGTAAGTTGAAATAAACCAAATCATTAGCAAAACATAATTCCAGTGCTTACCCTAATGTTTCACAAAGCTCAGTGAAAAAATGCATGCTCAATGCAAAAAATAGAATTATAACACTGCAAATATACCAAATAATTTTTATCTATGTAACACTCAAATTTTTAACATCACATCAAATATGTCCCAATTTCAAGCAGCATAGGTTTATGACACTAAATTAATACAAATATAAATATTAAATTTAGGAATTAGATATATAAATACAAGAAAATTGAGTGATATGTATGTAAATTTTCACAACATACATTAAGACATGATGGATTTCATTTCCAAACAAGAAGCGTAGCCCAATATTCTTACAAAAAATATAATATTTTGAGCATATGTTCTTTCATGCATCTGCTTACGAGTGTATATGCAATTGTATGCCTGCATTACATTGGAAGTGAAGAATAGAGTTCCATGGAAGTCTGGGAAGAGGGGCAAGGGATGCCTTCTTGTCGCCTAAGAGCACGCCATGTGGGCCACCATTGTCAAATTCTTTTCCTTGAGGATGCTTCTGCAATTTCAGCCAGGGTCCAATAAGTTAAATTTTAAATTTCAATATATAGTGTAAACTTGTATATATTACGACAGGAATTTTATGTTATGACTGAGCGAACATTGCCTATGTGATCGAATCAGGCTAAAACCTATCGTGTAAGAATTTCAATGCACCGTGATGTAATTTGACTCAGGGTCGTCAACAAGTCTATGGGGCTCAAAGATCAAGTCAACAAATCTCCAGCCTTGATCCTCAGTCTGTCAATCGACATAACAATCCTCGACATTTGCCTTAGGCACACGCTCATAGGTATCTTCTGCTATAAAGTCATGTCCTTTAGGGTCTGTTTGGGGCAGCTGCAACTTATCCAGATAAGCAACTTATCCTGATAATCTCCTAATCATCAGATTATCCTGATAAGCTGGCTAGCTGTTTGATTTGTGCGTTTCGAAAACAATTGATTCTGGATAAATGACAATTTTGCCCTTGTTCTGGATAAGCTGTTTAGCTGTTTGATTTTTGTGTTTCGAAAACAGCTGATTTGCAGAATCAGCTTTTTGTGGATAAAAACTATTCAGACAGATGCAGTGTTGCTGTTTACACTAGAATTTTAACGGTTACACATTTGACAGTTCAGAAAAAAAATCATTTCATAACAATATAGAATCCATTGTTATCAAATAAAGATCAAAATATTCTTATCCAAATTTTCTCCATCATATGCACAACTATGTCAGCTTTCACACACAAATTCTCTTAGATGTGGCCAAAACCTTTAATTTCTTGCAGATGAGGTCCAAAGCTTCATCTCCGCAAAATCATCAAGTCCTTCTAATTTAAGCACAATAAAAAATTTTTACAATTCTTTTCCATCCTCACCAACTCAGACACAAAAATAAATGAATAAATTCCTTCACTAAAACCCCAAGAAAACAAAATTCGACAATGAGAAAACATAATTCATCAATGAATGAGAAATTGATTCTACCAAAAAACCAAAATTTAATTCTACTACGCAGTAACAACGATCAATCGAAGCCCCAGATTCTCTAACCCTCTTAATTTTGTAGATGCAAAATGTATTCTCCATACAAATAATAGATCATAAAACAATAAAATAAACGATCAATGGACTAATAAAAATCATCATAACCAGTTTCAAAGAGACAACTGATGAAGAATCACGAGAGTTTCACTTCCAGTCTTTAATCGGGGAATCATGAAGAATAGGAAGAGTTTCATACCTGAAATAAGCCCAGGGAAGAGCCGAAAACCAATTAGGAAGAAGTCTGTCATTTTTCTCACTCCGCTTTTCGATCCCCTTCTCTGAGGGCTTCGGGTTCTCTTCCTTAAATAGCTTGCGGCCTGAGGAAATTGCTGCCCGTGCTTCGCCCGTTCTTCGATCGTGCAAGAGGAGGAGGAGAAGTGATGGCGAGGGGGGAGCGATTCGTCCGGGAGGAAGGCGAACGAGTGCCTTTTATGTAAATCACTTTAAAAGAAACACGACATTTAATAGAAAGAAACGAACAACAAACTACCTCCAAAACGTTATATTCAAACAGTCACTGTTGTGAATAAGCTCCCTCAAACGCACTTTTAATTTAAAAAATGTCCAAATTTTTATGTTAGTGATGTGAGGAATTTAAATCCAACAGAAATATTTAATTCATTTTTGTTTTATACAGGAAAATTTAAATTTATTTATTTATTTTTATCTTAGATCGACTCGTGTTTCTGCGCCAGTCCATATTTTCGCACGCGCGCATTTAGGATGGCAGATTCCGTGTTCCATTTACCTTAACAATAGAATTCGTTCTCCCCGTCTCCCTCGGCGGCTCCCACTCAATTTCAATTTCACCACCCTCATCCCCATATCAATCTCACACAACCCCCACCCCACCCATTACACCTGAATCCACCCCATCCATGGCTGCCGAACCCAGCTCCTTCATCGACCCACGAAGCGGCTTCTGTCCCTCTACTTCCATCTTCCACAGCAAACGCAAACCCGTCCCCCTCCCCACCTCCCCTCACCTCGACGTCACCACCTTCATATCCTCCCGCAGCCACTCCGGCACCGTTGCCCTAATCGACGCTTCATCCGGCCGCCGCCTCTCCTTCTCCGACCTCTGGCGTTCCGTCGCCTCCCTCTCCTCCTCCCTATCCTCTTCCCTCTCCATCCGCAAGGGCGACGTCGTCCTCCTCCTCTCCCCCAACTCCATCTACTTCCCCATCGTCTCCCTCGCCGTCCTCTCCCTCGGCGCCGTCCTCACCACCACCAATCCCCTAAACACCCCGCAAGAAATCGCCAAGCAGATAGCCGATTCCCGTCCCGTCATCGCCTTCACTATTCGCCCTCTTCTTCCCAAACTCATTTCCCCTTCCCTCCCCATCGTCCTGCTGGAAGATGATTGGAGCTCCGACGATGATTCCCGAATCGTTTTCACCATTCGAGATCTGATTTCATCCGGCCCGGATCGGTTTCATCGTCCCGAGCCGGTGAACCAAGACGACCCCGCTACTCTGCTATACTCGTCTGGAACAACAGGGGCGAGCAAAGGGGTTGTTTCCACTCATCGGAACCTGATCTCCATGGTTCAGATCATCCTCAATCGCTTCAAGCTGGAAGGCGACGGAGCACCGGAGACCTTCATCTGCACGGTGCCGATGTTCCACGTGTACGGCCTGGCGGCGTTCGCCACCGGGCTGTTAGGGTCTGGATCGACGATAGTAATACTCTCGAAGTTCGAATTGGGGGAGATGATGCGAGCGATTAGGGTTTACAGTGCGACCTATTTGCCAATCGTGCCGCCTATTCTAATGGCGATGTTGAATACGGAGAAGGCCTTGCCGGTGGGATCGCTCCGGCGAGTGCTTTCCGGCGGTGCGCCGCTGAGCCGGGAGATGATCGAGGGGTTCAGGGAGAAGTATCCGACGGTGGAGATTTTGCAGGGGTATGGGCTCACGGAATCGACGGGGATCGGAGCGTCGACGGATTCGGCGGAGGAGAGCCGGAGGTACGGGACGGCGGGGTTGCTGTCGCCGAACACGGAGGCGAGGATCGTCGAACCGGAGACCGGGAAATCGTTGCCGGTGAACCGGACCGGCGAGCTTTGGCTGCGCGGACCATATATCATGAGGGGTAGGTAGATATTTCTTATTTCTGCTCGATTGTGTCCAATTATTATACGTAGCAATTTTTATTTAAATGTTAAGGTGCTCTAGTTTAATATATAAATTAGTAACCAAAGGGTTAATATATTTTTCATCCTATAATTTATCAATTGACTGCATCCACAGCACCCACGCGACAAAATAATTACATTCTCATTACTCAAAATTTTGATATTTATAAACATAGCATGCACTTGGGATTGTCAAAAACAGCTCGTTGTTCGCAAACAGTTCATGTCGGTTCTTTAATAGGTTCGAGTTTTGATTCGTTCGCTAAGTTAATGAGCAGAACACAAACAAAGATTTGTTCATTCATGTTCGGCTAATTTTGACTTGAAATAATTATATATATATATATATAGGGTTTAGGCGATATGTTCATTCGTGTTCACTTGATTAGGGTTGTCAAAATGACTCTTAAACAACTCTTGTTCGACTCGCAAAGCAAACGGGCCGAAGACGAATAATTTTTTTTGTTCGAAATATAAATGAGCCGAACACCAACAGTTGTATTTTTTAATCTGAAGAACACTAGCTAAGTTTTGGCCCACTCATTTCGGCTCATTTACACCTCTTTATGTATGTGATATTTTTGAACTATCAAACTGATATACTTATGTGTGCCACGATCAAACTAATAAGAATTTGAGAAAAATGAAATATATGGGTTGATGTTTTACCATATATTTTGAAGAATAATAATGAATTTTAAAATATAAATAATTCTATATTGAATTTTCACATAAATGATATTAAAAAAATCAATTAATTAGTAATTGGAAAATTAAACGGCAGGCTATTTCAAGAACCCTAAGGAAACGCGATCAACTCTGGATTCGGAGGGGTGGCTGAGGACTGGCGATCTCTGCTACATCGACGACGATGGCTATCTCTTCGTTGTTGATCGCCTCAAGGAATTGATCAAATATAAGGGATATCAGGTTGGCTCCATCTGGCCCGTCCATCTTATTATCACAATTTAATTTGATTTTTTTAAAATATTCTCCACCGTCTGATCACGGCCTTTCATATGGATTTATCCCAGGTACCCCCTGCCGAGTTGGAGGCGCTCCTGCTTACTCACCCGGAGATTACGGATGCCGCCGTGATTCCGTAAATATTTACTTATTTATCAACTTACTCCAAATTTTTTGGGGGAAATTTTTTATCAGAAATTAATAAGATTTCTTTTTTTAAATTTAAAAATTGATAGAAACTTTCAAGATCTATTGTATTATAATTTATAAATAAAGTAGTTTAGTGCTTAATTATGAAAAATATTAAATTGGTAATTTGCAGGTTCCCGGATAAGGAAGCGGGGCAATACCCCATGGCGTATATAGTGAGGAAGGCGGGGAGCGGGCTGTCGGAGGCGGCGGTGATGGAGTTCGTCGGAAAGCAGGTGGCGCCGTACAAGAAAATCCGGCGCGTGGCTTTTGTTACAGAGATCCCGAAGAACCCCTCTGGGAAAATTCTGCGGAAGGATCTCATAAAGCTTGCCACTTCCAAGCTCTAGACGGTTGTGCGGACGTTTCTTATGTCGTGTCAGGTGTGAAATATGGTAGAACATTATGAGTGATTTCGTGGGAATGTATTAAATTTTTAATTAATTAAAATTTTAGTATCCGTTTGATTCGAAAGGGTTTGAAAGTGGATAATAAAAATGGTAAAAATATTGCATTGGAATTGTACACTCAAATACGATTATGTGAAATTTTTCGCTAAAAATTTACTCACGCTAAACAGAGTATACCTATAGAAATGATTGAATTGAGCCTATATGCTGAAATGGTTGAACTTATCATCCTCACGTTCCCCAAGAAGACGATGCGGGTCAGCTATGCGGGGGCAACAATTCTATAAAATCATCATGATGGATGAAGGTGTCTGTCAATCGCTAATTAAAGATGCTGCCCAACACGGGGGACAGTTCCTTTCATCCATATAATAGGGTCACTGAGGGTGGTTGTCAGACTGTCAATATCTGATATTACCCAAAAATAATTAAAATCTACGACATGAAATTTTCATCAAGATATCAAGAAAGTCAATCTTGCATAATCATGTATACCATTTAAATTTTTCTATAAGAAGTTTTTTCTCTGGTACATAAGAATGCGGAAGAGACAGAGAGAGAGAGAGAGAGAGAGAGAGAGAGAGAGAGAGAGAGAGAGTGAGAGAGAGGACCCTGTCCTAATACTCTTTTCCCCTCTAAGAAATTCTCTATTGAAGACTCTAAACTCATCTCTCTCTCTCTCTCTCTCCTATCTAGAATCCTGTAACGAAAGGAACCTTCAAGAAGTCACCCTCTTCCAGCCTCTGATTTATTGGAAAAGTGAGAATTAATATATTTCATAAGATCCCTCCCAAAAGGAATCTCATCCATCTCTCCCTCTCTCATTTTCTCTTTAATACCAAGTCTTTTATTATATTGTATGTACTCACAAACGATGTGGGACCTCACAACCTAAAAAGATTCAATAGAAATTAATTAATAATCCTTTTGTTTTGGCAAGGAGAAAATTAATGAAAATTTTGTTTTATAGTTTTACCCGTGAGAAATAATGTATTCATTTTTGTTATAACTATATAAATAATACTAAAAAATAAAAAAGGGGAAAAGAAATGTTGAATCGGCATAAGGATCAGCTATTGTGTTGGTTCGATTATTAGTCTAGAGGTGGGGGGCAAGCTAGGGCATTTATGTGGTCCATTTACTTATAGCCCTTACTTAGAACGAGTAAACAAGTGGGAGGAACTCATAATCGAGAAGTGGTCTCATGTGTGACGTCTCCATCGTGTCGAGCACTAGTGAGGGGAAAGACAAGCAGGAGGAAGTAGGTCACCTTCATGCTGTTCTCATGAGAGGAAGAAGAGAATCACAGTGTTGTGCGTGCAATTAGGGCTTTCGAGCCAAGCGAAGAAGAAGAAGGAGAAGTCCCAGAAAAAAAAAAAAAATATTTCGATGGCTTACTTGATTTGAGCCGCAATCGAAGATGTCGTGTTGTGCCCTAACCAAGGAAGGAAGAAGAAGAAGAGGGAAGATACGATTTGTTGTGACTCTGTCGAGAAGAGGAAAGTGTCGGGTCGGGACTCAAAGTGGAGGAAGGAGTTGAAGTCGTGCGCTGCTCTTAAGTTGGGCCGAGACCGAAGAAGGAAGGAGGAGAGAGCTCGAGTTTGCGTGGTCGAGCAAAGACCAAATTGTTGAGAATTTTAGGGCAAAGAAAATCAAGAATTGACGCAAATCCAGAAATATACATAGAGATTTAATGAGATTCAGCAAAGATAGCTACGTCATCGGAAGTAGAACGGCGACTTTTTCTTCAATTTTAGAAAAAAAAAGAGTACATAATACCCCTTAGGGTTACAATATACATAAATATATAGCCATTGAGTACAATATGTAATCACAAAATTACCTATGTACCGTACCGCGAGGGTGTTGCTCCTGCACCCCAAACCTACATAACGTAACTCCTCTGATTGGACATATGCTTTTGCTTCACTCCACTCGCGTGCTCCTCTACGCTCGCTCCACTTCACTAGCTCGCTCCATTCCGCTCCAGCATCTGTCATTTATTTGAAATATGAGCCATACCTAACACAAAATCAGGAGAGGAAACAAAGGAGTAGACCTCGCACTCGTAAGGTTTGGGCTACAAGTTACAATGAGTTTTTTTAAAGTTCTTTTAATTGATTAATTTTTTATATATATAAGTTTATCATAGTTAAATAATTTATAATTAAATGTTCATGTAGTTAACACTATTAGGAGTGAGAGAGGGGAGGAGAAATTTGTACTATTCTTAGTAGAGCCCATTAGAAGTGGAAGGGAATGCTCGTGTGGCTGCGTGCATGCAACTGTTGATCGATTTAAGCTTTATTAAAGGCATTGGTATGGTTTTGATTAATATGGTATAGGTCAAATTTTGTAATTATTAGTAATTTGTATTAATATTAATATTATAATTCAAAACAGGGATTTTAGGAAGTTTAATTCAAAGATTGGGCCTTTGGATTGTGGATTTAAGGAGCAATCAAGAGATAAATTCAGGTAATTATTTATAATTTTATTTATATACATATATTAATAGCATATGATAGATATTAGTTTTATGAGTGCAATTGAGGAGAATGTTTGATTCAATGATATATATTTAAGGTGTTGGGTACTTAATTTATAGTTGGTTGTCCAAAGAAATAAACTGAAAGGGTAGAATATTTAAGAAATCTTTTAAAATAAACATGAGTGAAGACTTTCTTTTATGTGTTAAATTAATATTTTAGTAAATGAATAATTGCTTTATGAAATGGTTTATATTAAGTTTTTTTGTTATGCCTTGCATATTAAATTTTAAATGATTTTAAATTTATATGAAATGAATAATAAATGTTTAAGTCCTCATAATTACTCCATGTGATACTGATAGAGCATGCGACGTATCCGTGCTTGTTAAAAAAAATGGTAAATGTGTGCATTTGAGAGCAATTTTGAGGGTAACTTAGAGTATATTTTTAAGAGTGCATTCAAACACATTTTTTAGGGTACCTTCAAGTACGACGGTAATTCTGTTATGACTTTTAAAAATGTTAAAAATGGTAAATACTTAAAGTGAAATAAGAATGAATAAAGTTAAAATGTTGATGTAATGATCTGAATTTTCTTTCAATCATTCATGAATAACATAACATACGAATTTAATGCATATTTGATAATAATTACTCGCTTAGTTTTGCTTAAGATTGCAATTAATATTTTTTTTTTCAGTAGAAGGAAAATTTTAGGTTGATATGTCTGGCAGAAGAAATTTTGTTTACAGAAAGAGGGCTACAACTTATAGATATTAATTATGAAATCTTTGAAGTTTCTATTTTTTTTCATTTATTTACTGTTCAGTACTAGGTGTGATTTTTAGATTATAATGATGCTTTTGGATGTTTAATTTTACTGTACTTTGTGGATCATTTTTCTTTTATATATTGAAAGTTTATAAAACATTTTTTTGGAAATGTAAAATGAGATGTTAATATCGTCTGATCAGGGTGTTTGCATCAATTTTTGGATGTCATAGGTGTAGGGCGTCCACCTGTGATCGACGAAAATTTGTTATCGCGCGTCATGCACGAAGTTGGCCCGAATTGACCAAATCACCAGCGAAGTTATACAGATGGCCCCGAACGACGAAACAGACCACCTGAGTGCGTCCGGAATGTCGATTTCACTTACGGGGGATGTTCACTTCGCTACGGCTTCGCCGGCGGGGTAAAAATGTGTGAATTATCGTTTTGGGCACAATCGTCGAAAAAGTGACCCAAACGACCCCGAATGACGAAACGGACTGCGCGGTCACGTCCAGAACGTCAATTTTACCTAAGGGAGACGTTCATTTTATCGCGATGACGTATTCGACAAAAAGATGCGGAGAGATAATAATAATAATATTATTATTATTATTATTATTAAAAAAGATTTTTTTTTTTTTTTTTAAGCTGCTGCGTAACTCTCCTCCCTCTCTCCTCTATTCTCTCTCTAGCAAAAAAAAAATTAATTAATTAAAAAAGAAAATAAAAAAACAGTTACGCTCCTCTTCCTTCCCCCCTCCCGCTGGATCGCGATCCATCGCGAGACCCGGCTCCGAGACCCGGCTCCAAGGCCTCCTCGCCATACTCCTCCCGCTCCTCTCATCCGTCGCAGGCGAAACTCGGCGCCGCCGTTTCCCGCCTCCCT